AGCCCGGTTAGCTCAGTCGGTAGAGCACCAGACTCTTAATCTGGCTGTCGCGGGTTCGAGCCCCGCATCGGGCTTCACATTTTGCAAAAGTCCAGTTTTGTCATGTTACTTGTTGGGGCAGTTGCAATAGCTTAGCAAGATGATTTTAGAAGTTTGCTTCCGAAAAAACAGAAAACTTCATCTTTATATATTAAAAAATTATTTTATTATTACTCTTCTTTCGGAAGTTCAAATGATCAGAAATTGAAGATTGATAATTGAAGTGATAGTTTTCATAATTGCGGGTTCTCTCCGAGAGAAACAGAGAAAATGATAGTAACTGTCAAGAGAAAAATCGAATCCGAGATCGAAGGTGATGACGTCGTAAACGGGCGACGTCCCGTTAAAAACACCGCATTCTCAGATTTTTCGCAGGATTCTAAACCTAAGAGCGAGGTGTTAAAAATCATTTTCCTTTAGTAACATATGTGCTATCGTTGTGTAACTGTCTTGTTCTTCTACTTTCTGTACTTCGCATATATATTATATATTATATATATATAGACGAATAACATAAAATGTAAATCATTTTATGAAAAACAGAAAAAAATCAAGTTTGACTGTTTTAATTAAAAGCTGCCGAACTCTTCTCTTCAGATGATATCTTCCTTTTGATCTTTCATATATATACTGATATATTCCATTAATCGTTCATAGACTAATACAAAACTGGATTAGTTTGTAATGTGACGATGGTGTTCTGTAATCCTCCGCCTACTTGATGCTTCCTTATAAAACCAAAACTCTATCATTAATACTACTAATTGAAGGTTATCATCTGAGCTTCATCCATCTCCAAATGAGTCAGCGAGCAAATTTTCACATCAAAGCATTAGTTTTATTAATTGTTGTACAAAGTAAGTTTGATTTATGGTATAACACACCTTACACGTATCATTTTCAGCTTCATTCTCGATTACCCTTGAAAGCGTTTACACTCGGTTACTGCAAAAGCAACGAAATGCCGAAGATACTTTTGCTTTTCAATTTGTAAAGCCAATTGGAACTGTTGCCGGCGAATATGTGAGAATTTAGAACTTCTATATTATTAACTGGAATAATTATAAAACAAACTTTGGGCCTAAAATAGTAAAACGTGAAATTCGTCATACGTGATTGATTGTCTATAGTTTTTCAATAATTTGCCAATACAAAGAAAACAATAGAAGGACTGATAAAAGTTGAAAAAGAAAGATGAAAGAAGGAAAAAAAATTTCTTTTGTATTCATGTTGGGCTTTTACAGATTTGGCCTAGAAGTTACTCAGCATCAGCAGAACTTATATTCGATGAGAACGGAGCTGCTTTTCCTGTTCGGGAGCGTCCTACATCACTTAGCCGGATTTTGCGTCCACTACAGACAAGTCGTCTCAGAAATGAAGTTGATGCTTGGCCTTATCGCCTTCGTCGTTGAATAATTAGCAGTGAAACTCAAAATTTCTTTTTTTCTGTAAAATTAGGTTTCATCCATCATCATCATCAATACTTTCTTCATCTGAGTCTCAATAACCTGATACTCACTTCTTTTCTCTTTTTTTTGAAAATAAAAAAACCAAAACATCTCCATGACGGGTTAATATTGTTCTTTTAAGTTATTTCATTCTTTGTTTCTTCATTCATTTCAATAAATATTACTTCTAATCTCATACTTTTTACGACAATATCACGTTCAATTCAAATCCGTTGCCCAAAGAAGGGGTTAACTTCAATGAGAAGAGTTCATTATTACTTTTGCAATATTTCTTTGAAAATTTCAAAGTAGTTTGGGTACACATGTACGTCTCACCGGAACTTCTCGGTTTGCACAGAGATCCGAAAAACTTTTAAAAATATTGCCTTTTGAAATAGAAAGTTTGATATTCGGGCGAAAACGCATTCTTCAATGAACTTTCTATCCGAATACGCTCTAGGCCGTTGACATTTGAACGTTCAAACGATATTCCCAATGTTACAGCATTGTACGCGCTTCTCGTCTTGATTTCCCAGAAAGGTTGACAATTGAAAACCGGGTAGAATCAGGTATCTTAATTGGAAGGTTTATGAATGAACTTTCAACGTTCAAGGTCTCTGTCAAGAGAATTTGGGAGAAAGTTAAGAAGAAGTCTGCTGATAATGAGGTGTAGGAGAATCATAAAAGAGGTTCCAGCTACTCTCTTCTGCCCTTATTGCTTTGCCTTCTACTACAAAGGTCCAACATTGATATTGAGACGTAGGTAATTATAAGAAAAAATTTTAATTATAATGGATTAAAATAGAAACGTGACTTCGTATAGAATGAACGTTCATGAAAGGCCATGAAACACGCACGCTGCGTGAACAATGAAAGTTCATGAATGACTATGCAACAGACTTATAGCTTAGAAAATCAAAACATGAAAAGACCATGCAACACGTACGCTGAGTGAGGAACGAAAGTTCATGCACGACCAGCCAACAAGCACGCTGAGTGAGGAATGAAATATCATGAACGACCTGTCAACACGTACGCTGAG